ATATTAATCTGCACATTTAGCTGTTTTTTAGGAGTTCGGCTTTAAGATGACTTGTCAACACACTGAATGAGAATTTCTGTAAATGTCTGTGGGCTATAAATAAAACTTTTATAACCCAGTCCTCTCTGTCAAAAGCCCCGATGCTGGCGACGTACACTGTACGTCGTCAGTCACAAAGGGGTTAAACATAACATAAAATGGGTGTGCTGTTTCTCTTTTTTTAATGTCTAAGTTGTAATGTTTATTTACAAATGTTTTGCACATCCACTTTTATCTGTCTGCAAAATCTTTGTTTCTTCAAGTTATTTATATCTCGGGAGGAACATCTTGGGTTTTCTTTTTAAACGAAATATTACTGTCACCAAGGTATGAAAGCTCCTTCCCTAAGCTTTAAAGCCTAATTGAATCTTCAATATAGATAGGCTAAATACATTCCAGGTGCATCAAAACAAAAAGTGTGCAAAGTCTTACAGTTTGTTTCCTTTATAAATACCTCTAATGAATTAACCCCAAAAGCAATGAAGTTGACATCCTTCGTCGAAACATACATACATGAGTACTTAGACTTCATGGATCCAGTATGTTTTCCCACATGGCAAAGACCGTTCCCTTCTCTCATTACAATGTGATATTATTTCATAGGTTGTCTCCCCTTAATGACATTACTCTTTGGTAACTTCCTTGCTCCTTACATCTTCTCTTTGTAAGCCTATTTATTCTTTTCTTTCTTTTCCCTTCTTTTCTCTTTATCTTCTCTTTTTTCACCATAACCTCCAACCCCTTATTCTTCTCTCCTCTCTTTGTCACTCTGTAACATGCTACCACTACGGCTGCTCTCCACCACACATTCCCTTGGACTTGGATGTTAAGTGGATTTTTGATTTTTCAGCTTATAGAAATTATTAATTTGCCATTTTGACTGAGAGTAGCCACTTGGTCAGATAAATACATATACAAGTATTCAAATACCTTTGCCTGGTAGGTATCAAGCACTTCAGCAACATTTTGTTTGGATGGTCTCTTCAGAGATGTAAGGTCTTTTTCAAGGGATGAAATCTAATAAAGCAAATCTTGAATGAACACATGTACATATGAAACACGTGTGATCACATCATCAAAGTACTACATTCTATTGGACTTCTTTGGCTACAATGTAACCACAAATCTTCAACACTGCAGTTATATAGAAAATCCTAATGAGAGCATAAGCTCACATAGCTTTAACACTAGTATAAGAGTCTTTATTTTTGCCATGTGACTATAATTGTAAAACCTCATTGTACTCTGGAGCTGAAAATAACTTATTCTAATGTGTTTACTGTCAAAACTGAGCCTTATGACTGATATCATCATGATTTCTTGTGAGGTCTAACAGCAACGTAGGAGCAAGGCAGAACTCTTCCTTGCTTCTCTCTACAGCAAAAGATCTCTGCAATAACAGAGTTTTTGAACTCACCAGAAAATCCTTTACTTCAAGGTCATTGACTCTTTGCATTTTACTGCTGCTTACAGAAGAATTTGAATACTGACACCAATAAAAAAAACAGTGACCTGCCTGGTATAGTCCTCCCACTCTTAGCACGCGGTTACTGCGCTGATTTCAAAAGGGAGGTTTTCGGGGTCTTTAATTGCGTTTCAGCGCTGAAACGCAATACCAAATAAAATAAATCCAATGATACTGAGGCCTACAGGTAATAACTAATAAAGCCTCATACTTTAAATAAATGTTTTTCTTTTTTTTCTTTTTGGTCATTGCAAGTGTATATAACAAAGGAACAAATGGAACGGAAGGGCTGTAATGTTAGTCTGTCTACCTCTTCTCTTGTTAGCATCAAGGATCTCTGCTACATATGCAATATTAAGTTTGAGAGCATTCAGAGTTTCAAATTTGGTCTCATAGCTGTTTTTAGTGAATATTAACATCTTTCTCCAGAACCTAGTCTTTTTTTTTTTCTTTGTGGGACACAAAGTTACTTAATTCCTCATGTATTCCAGGTAGCACAATTATTTTACTTTATATCCTTTCGGGGCACAAATGCAGGCCTGCCTTTAATATGTTTGTAACAAACACGTGAGAGCACGTACTGAGCACTAAGAAACGAAAACAGGGTTATAATGCTGCATAACCTCAACAGAAATAAGAACTTGCAACACCCATTTAGCTTCTGAAGGAATTTAATAACATAAAATATTTTTTTAAATAATCATTACCTAATATGATGAAAACAACTCTTTGTTTTCTTTGAGTCTGGGTCTTTTTACACTACTACACAGAATTATGCAAAAACCTACCTTTTCTGATTCAACAAAGTGAGTAGCAATGCCAGCTTTTTGCACATCTCTTCCCCTTAGCCTGTATCCAGTGAGAGCAATATATAAGCCAAGTTTGCCCGGAAGTCGGGGTAAAAAATACCCTCCTCCAACATCAGGGAATAGCCCTTAAAAAAAAAAAGATCAAGGAGTTAAATCCGTATACAAAAAACGTATAATCAGTATATAGCAGCTGTATAATTTACTTAATATATCTAACTTTTCATGAGAAACAAGCCTGTATCATAAGAAACCAACCGTATTAAAAATAAGCAACTACAGTATACCCAACGTACACTGCCTAGCCAAAAAAAAAAAGGTCACCACCTGGATTTAGCTAAGCAAATAGGTCAGAGCCTTCCAATGGATAATGGGTATAGGTTCAGCAATGTTATGTCCCTATAAAATGAGGTCAGCTGCCTACCTGAATATACTGCATGACTAGGTTTTTCCACCAATTGATTTTTCCTTCCATGATAGCATGGGCATATTCCAAGATGACAATGCCAGGATTCACCGGGCTCAAATTCAGATTGTGAAAGAGTAGTTCAGGGAACAGGAGACATAATTTTCACACATGGATTGGCCACTACAGAATCCAGACCTTAACCCCATTGATAATCTTTGGGATATGCTGGAGAAGACGTAGTGGTCCAACTCTCACATAATGATTACAAGTGAAAAAATGTATGCAACTCGAAATTGAAATAAATGTTGTGACATTGCATAAGCTTATTGAAACGATGCCACAGCGAATGCATGTCATAATCAAAGTTAAAGGCCGTACAATAAAATATTAGAGTGTGTGACTTTTTTCTGGCCAGGCAGTGTATTATTAGAAACTAGGCATACAAGAACAATGTATTACAGTATACTCAATGTGTCATGAAAAAACAATTACAGGCAGTCCCCGGGTTACAAACAAGATAGGGTCTGTAGGTTTGTTCTTAAGTTGAATTTGTAAATAAGTTGGTACATTTTTTAAGTGTAACTCCAGCCAAAAAAAGGTTTTGTTTGTTTTGGAAAGGGTTAACCCCCTGTTAACATTTGTTTTGCTGTGTCTGCCCCTGTTCAGAAGATTTCACCTTACTTTCTGTCCCTGTTAGATTTAGATTTTGAAAATTTTGGGTTGTCGTGGAAAAAAGGATTAGTGATAAAGCTTCAGTGGAGACATCTTTTTCTTATGATAACTCTTACAGGTGTGAATTCCCTTCCTAGGGGTAGATTTCCTCTCACTTCCTGTTGTCTCAAGGACAGGAAGTGAGATGAAATCTTTCCAATGAGGATACAGACAGCAGTAAAAACCTAACAGTGACCCGGAAGAAGAGGTGGGCACCCTTCGTCTGCACGTCTAACAAGAGCCAACTTCCTGTAATGTACGTACAGTACTACGAAGCAGACCCAAAAAGGCGGCCACTCCTTGTCGGCAAGAGTGTGGTAGCATTACAACTACCCCTGCTGTACAGTAACAGTCGTATGTAACGACTTACAACAGTCGTATGTAAGTCGGATGTATGTAACTCGGGGACTGCCTGTATACAAAAATAAGCTGCTACAGTATAGCAAATGTATCATCAAAAAACAATTATATAAGAATCAGTGTGCACATCTTCATATATGGTTGGTTTTTCATATTGCATTTAAGTATAATGTTGTGGATTATACTGTTAAGCTACCTGAAGTTTGTTTTTGGGAGTTTTTTTTCTACAACCCCAATTGCAAAAAAGTTGGGAAGCTGTTTAAAATTTACATAAAACAGAATACAATGCTGTTTTGCTTCCATCAATTTCAAAGTTACCTTCTTTTTTTTTTAATGATACTTTTTTTTCATTTTAAACATTTGATATGTGTTCTTTTTCTATTTTCTCTGAAACTGCTGGAGACCCCTGATATTTTCCTTTTAAAATAGAAAAGCCCCTGTTATAAATGAGCAGGAAGCCTCTATACTGAGTGTTCCTGTTCATTCATAAATTGTGGATATAGTAGTTACTATATCCACAATTATGAATGAAGAGGAAATTATGTAGATCACTTCCTCTTCATTCATAACTGGTACATACAAATAAGCTGCTACAGTATAGCAAATGTATCATCAAAAAACAATTATATAAGAATCAGTGTGCACATCTTCATATATGGTTGGTTTTTCATATTGCATTTAAGTATAATGTTGTGGATTATACTGTTAAGCTACCTGAAGTTTGTTTTTGGGAGTTTTTTTTCTACAACCCCAATTGCAAAAAAGTTGGGAAGCTGTTTAAAATTTACATAAAACAGAATACAATGCTGTTTTGCTTCCATCAATTTCAAAGTTACCTTCTTTTTTTTTTAATGATACTTTTTTTTCATTTTAAACATTTGATATGTGTTCTTTTTCTATTTTCTCTGAATAAAATATGGGTTTATGAGATGTGCAAATCATTGCATTCTATTTTTATGTAGATTTTAAACAGCGTCCCAACTTTTCTGGAATTGGGATTGTATAGCTCATAGTGCTTTACATGATTTAGCCAAGTTTTACAGACTTTAAAATAAACCTGTATTTAAAGAATATGGAATTTGCCATTGCTGACCTTGCCTTCTGAGAATGCTGGTTGCCTGGCTTTCCTGCTGACCTAGAAACTTTAATAGCATTTGAGACAGTGACCCAGAACAAGTATGCGGATGAGGAGGGACAGTCAAACAACTAGTAGTCTTAGAAGAAGGAGAGCAATGGCAGGTCCAGTATTTCCCTAAGTACAAGTGTTCTTTGTATTTTTAGGGTTCTGTTCCACAAAGGTGATCTTCAGAACAGTATATATTTTTTTCAGTGGGGATGCTATGTTTTATTTTGGAATAATCAAAAAGCCTATATTTGAAGCTAAAATCACTTTTGGTCCACACACCTGTGACTTACGTCCACTAGCATAAATGTATCATAATAAAAGCACAATACCTTCTATATAGTACATGCACAATACGGTTACCATGATACATTTACATGTAACTGACCAAGAACAAGTAGGGAAATTAATAGAGATGCACCAAAATGAAAGTTTTAAAACGAAAATAATAGAAAATGGCAGGCAGAAACCGAAAATATATATTTTTTTTCTAACCTTTTAAAATATTTTATTTTTATTTATTTTTTTATAAACTTTTTAATTCTTTTAAATTTATTTTTATTAAATACTTTTATTTTTTAACTGTACTGCTGGAGACCCCTGATATTTTCCTTTTAAAATAGAAAAGCCCCTGTTATAAATGAGCAGGAAGCCTCTATACTGAGTGTTCCTGTTCATTCATAAATTGTGGATATAGTAGTTACTATATCCACAATTATGAATGAAGAGGAAATTATGTAGATCACTTCCTCTTCATTCATAACTGGTACATACTAACTCATACTATGCCCAGTTATTTACAAACAGTCAGCGATCACTGACTGTTTGTACCGCTCTCCATCCTGACTCGCTGTCACAGGAGGGTGAGCCGGCGGAGCAGGAGAAGAGTTCAGTCTATTTTGACAGCTGACTCCTCCCCCTCACTGTCTGCTCAGGCTCCTGTGGCAGCACACAGCTGTCTCCACTGTATCCTGATCGGTCAGTGGAGGCTGAGCAGGGCGGTGCAAAAGAAGAGCTTAGCCTCCTGTGACATTGTGGCTCACAACGCTCTCCTCCCCTGCACCGTTCAGCCTCCTCTAAGAGTTTCTCTCCTCCTTGCTGGACGCTGGGCTGTGTCAGAGGGGATACAGAGCAGCGGGGAGGAGAGAGACCAGGCATCCACTCCATTTTCGTCCGATATGAAATTTCGGTGCTTCCATGACAATAATAGAGCTCACAGTAGAATTAATGCTTTTACAAAATCTTCAGCTTGTGATGTAGTAAACAGTTTCAGAATGAGTATAATTAAATAATTCAGCCCAAGTAGACCGAAAAAGTGTTCTTGGGATTTAATGTGCGGCGTCAAACAGGGGCAATTTGAATGGCTAAGGCAGCATTCTTCAACTAACAATTTATCTGTCAAGTAAAATAAGCCTTTTTATCTTCTGGCAAGAGTGAGAGTATGTGAATTCTCTCACCCGAAGGACACAGAGCACAAACTGCTATTGTTAACATAAACTCCTTCATATTCTAAACTAAGCATCAAGTCCTGCAGGAGCAGTGAGTTTTTATGCATTCTAATTAAAATTAATAAACAATCAACGTTATATCTCAGCCTCCCAATGTACTAGGTCAAATGGAGTTTTGGAAGGAAATGGCTCAGCAATGCATGAATGTAAAAATGTCATGCAAACATTGGAAGATGTTTAATTAATTAATGTTAGATTAAAATTGCAAGTTACAAGTTCTTTAAAATACTGTCCATGACAGAATGGAAAATAAGAAATAAGTCTAAATCTGACTGGTGGCAAGCAAATCAATTCTTAACAAGAAAATTAATAAAGATTGTGTTATGCATGAACTGTCGTTCTTCTGTTCTGTGGAAAGGAATAAACATTTATAAAATTCTCTCAAATGTCTGAGTATCAGAACAGCTTCATGCAGCAGCCTCTGCACAAAGTCTAGACAAGGGGTGGGTCACAGTAAGAAGGAGCAAGGTTTATTGCAAAAAAAGGCTCATGTATAAAATATTAGTCACAAAGCCAAGGAGGTGAAGGTGTACTCTGTTACAGCTCAGATGTATATCTCTGCTAATTTTTGCTGGAAGGCATTAATTGCTATTTAAATAGTATCAATATGCACTATGATCACCCTTTAAGTAGC